AAAAAAAAAAAAATTCTGCCCCCCTCGCCCGCTCACGCTCCCTCTCCCTCTCCAAAAGAAAAAGAAAACTGTTGGATACAGCGCATTTTAAATTCTTGTGCGCGAGGTGTGTTCATGAACACGGGTGCATTTCAACTGGTTTTGATGAACCCTCATCCGACATACTTAGTATTTTACTTGTTTATTTTCTGCTGGGCCACAGTAGAGGGGAGGGAGGTCACTGCTCTATTACCAGAATCCAGGGCAGTGCACGGCACATGGCCGGCAGTCAGGCTGTTGAATGGTGAGGAGTGTCCCCTCCCCCAGAACTCCTGACTCGGGAATTGTGGGTGACGCGCAAATTTGAGCCCGCTTCACCCGCCTTTCCCCACGATGCCGATGGGGGCGCTCTGAGCATCACATTTTGATCCAGACCAACCCCCTCGTTTCTCGGGTGAAGAAATTGAGGTCCAAGAGACATGTTGACTTGCCTGAGGTCAGGCAGCACGTTGACAACAGAGGAAGCAGCCTGGCCTGGGCTCCAGCCCAGGAGAGGCTGGTCATTGCTAAGTGCAGGAGTCATTCCTGCACCTCCCTGGGCCCTCGGGTCTCCATCTGGCAAATGAGGAGGGTTCATCATCACAGAGGGGCGGGACATCATGGGGTCACGTTTTGCCCCTCCCTCTTACTAGCTGTGCGATCTTATGTAGATATTTCTTAATCCCTGTGCCTCAGTTTGCTCATCTGTCAGATGGGGGTAATAAAAGTCCCCACCTCATAGGCTGAGTTCGGTGAGTTAATACCCATGAATTGCTCAGAACAGTTCCTACAGCCTCGTAAGTATCCAATAAATACTAGCCAGTCGCATTATCTCCAACACTGCCACAAGAGGTGTGCGAATATCCCCCATAGGCGGGTGAGGGTGAATTTGTGAGGGCCGGCTTTAGAGCCCGAGTTTCCCGGATTCAGATCTCGACTCACTTCCAAACTCTGTGACCTCGGGCACGTGAATTGCCCTCTCTGAGCTTCAGTTACCCTGCAGATGGCTGGGTTATTGTGAGCACGCAGTAGGTACCTAGGTATACAGAAAGCGCCAAATAAATGCCAAGTATGTATCCCTCTGTGTTCAGAGTCTCGCTGCAAACGGCATGTATTAGTTCCTTATGGCTGCTGTAATAAATGACGACAAACTTCAGAAGTTTGAAGTCCGTTTCCCTAGGGCCGAAATCAAGATGTTCGCAGGGCTGTGCGCCCTTTGAATCTCTAGGGGAGAGGCCGTCTGCTTCCCTTTTCAGCTTCTAGAACTTCATCCCTCACAACCCTTGGCTCCGGCCCCTTCTTCCACCTTCAGAGTCAACAGAGGAGCATCTCGGTTCCTTGATCCCGTCGCCTTCACTGCATCGAATCTCCCTCTTATAAGAACACTTGTAGACATTTAGAGCCACCGAGATGATCCAGGATAATCTCCCCATGTCAAGACGCTTAATTTCATCCTACCTGCATAGTCCTTGTTTCCAAAGTCACAAGCACCTGAATATAGTTGGAGGCCATCACTCAGCCTACCACATGGCGGAAAACCCAAGCCAAGCTTGCTGAAGCAACAAAAGGTAATTTATTGCCTCACGCAACCAAAAAGTTAAGGAGGGGATGCTTCAGGCACAGCTAGATCTAGGTGCTCATCCAGAAGCTGTCCCTGCCTTCTCTGGGAGCTGTTTGTGTCTATGACAATTTCATTGCCAGGCTGACTCTACTCCCGGTGGATGCGGAAAGGTGGACGCGGTCAGCCCCAGGTTCACATCCAAAGATAAGTGCCGTGGAGAAAAGTAAAGCCAGGTAGGGCAAGACAGAAGGGTAGCGTGAGTTTCCATTTGAAATAGGTGGTGAGGAGAGGCCTCTAGTGAGAAATGACATTTGAACAAGGACCTGACCCAGATGAGGGGGAAGCCAGGCCGCTGTCTTGGGGAAGAGGGTTCCAGACAATGAGTCCGTTGAAGAGCCTTGAAGCCAATGTGGTCAGAGCCTAGTGAGCCAGCAGGAGAGGGGGAGAGAGGAGAGAGCCCAGAGGGAACGCAGGGGGGTCACGCGGGGCCTCCTGAGTCCTGCTGAGGACCTGGGCATTTCTTTGAGTTAGAGGGGACAATGCGGGAGGGCTCTGGGCTGAGGAGGCACGTGAACTGATCTAGGTGTTAACAGGCACACTCTGGGGAGCCTACCTGGGGGTCGAGGACTGAGGCGGGAGATCCAGACAGGCAACAGGCGTCCTCGCTTGGGGTCAGAGAGGATTTGAGCTTAGGGGAGGCGGCCGGGGAGAGAGTGAGAAGTAGCCGGATTCTGGACGTACTTTCCGGATAGAGCCAACATCGGAGGGATTCGATGAAGGGGTATGAGCGGGAGGAGCAGGTTTCTGCCCTGCAGGTGTGGGATGGAGATGACCAGGGACTGAGCCCTCTCTCCTCTCCCAGGCGCCCGGAGGAGGCGGGGCGGAGGCTCCGGCCCTGGTGCAGCTCGTCCACGAACACCGGGCGTACTCGATCCCTCGC